TAGCAATTAGGGCAAAGGGATACAGGCAGAGCGCCTCCTCGTTTAGTTCCTCTCGTCCCATTAGTGACAGGTGGCCCTGTTCCTACCTGAGGCTCTTCCTCAAGCCCATCAGCTACATGGGCCTTGTCCCACCAACCATGCCTCCCCTCTGGCCTTCATCATACTCATCCCCGCTGGGGAACAGCCTGCCTACTCTCCCTGCTTAAATCTCCCCTCGGCCCTGGCCTCTCTCACATCGCTTCCTCCTGGTTTCCCTCATGCATTTCTGGACTCTGCCTTCTTTCCTGGCACCTTGGGAATGAAAAAAAAGGGTTCTGTGGAAAGTAACTTCACAAGGGAATGTTATCTTAAATTCTTAACTGGATGGGTCATGGTGGGGAGTCACGCCCCAGGCCTATAACTTCTTTAGTGAAAGGTTTTAAGCCAGCGTGTCCATTGCCTCAGTGCCTCTAGGTTAACACACCTTTGAAATAAGCATAACCACCCTCAAGAGAGCACATAATCTTGTTAACTACCCTGCAGTCCAGTTCCCGCTTTGCTTTCTCCCAATGTTCCTTCTGGCCCCTCCTTAATATCAAATGCATAAAATAAACTGCAAAGCTGCTATTCTCTGGCACATTTGAGATCTTGCTCCCCAGCATATGTCATCGGTTTGACTCAAATAAACTCATAAAAATTCTCTACAGGTTTGGACGTTTCGTATATCAACCACCTCCTGCTCTACTCATCCTTAAAGCTGGTTCCCCGGCATCCTCCTCAGCTGTCTTATGTTCTCTCTCTCCGTACTCACCCTTGGTGGTCTCACTGACGCCCACGGTGAAGGTCTCAGCCCCAAACACTCTCCTGTCTTCTCAACCTTTCAACCTATGTTCCTACTGGCTATTTCCACATAAATTCCCATCACAGCTAAAACAAATCATCTCTCCCCGCCTCCCCCTCGCCCAAACCTGATTCTCCTATATTTTTATCCACACACAATCACCTAAGCCAGAAACCCGGAAGTCATTCTAGGCTCCCCCACTCCTCGCGTCTATCCGCCACATTCTATCAGTCCCCAAGTCTCATACCCTCTGCTCTGCTATCTCCAACTCCTCACCTTCCCCATAGGCAGGCACTGCCTTAGCTGAGGCCCTTACCCAGTCTCAGTTGGTTGACTGTGGCAGCTCCCAACAGGTCTCTCTGCCACCCATCTCCCTCCTTCAGTCTCACACATCTCTAATAGTGGGGAAGGAAAAACTTGACCCTCAAGGGTTTTCCTGCTGGTCTAATAATCAAATAGACATGAGACAGATGAGCAAGCGAAAACAACCAAACATAATACAGACAGATGTATGGGAACCCTGCATCCATGAGAGAGTTAGAGACCCCCACATGCACAGGAGGTTCAGAGACAGAAAGACATCCTGAGCTAGGGATGCGGTAAGGTGCCTTGGGGGCTTCAAAGGGTCATGGCGGGATGATAAGAAGAGCACCTGCTTAGTAAATGGAAGTTTGCCTTGCCTTTATAGATAGGTCAAAAGAGGTTATCTCTGATCATCTCTTATTATGGACAAGGCCTCTAAATCAAGTTCCTCTAGGAAGTTAAGGGAGGGTCAGAGGTTTCTCTTGAGCTTGGAGCTCAAGTTGCTTTTAGTTCAAAACAACCCACGTACCACAAAGGCACATCTTGGGGTAACGTTTTCTGAACCCCCCCACAAAATCTAATCTTAATTTCTACCAGAGTGCTCTTTCTAAAATGAGAATCGGATCTGATTTTCTTAAGTAGTTCCCCTTCTCCTTCAGGATAAGTCCAGTGCTGGATTTGGCACCTACGTACCTGGATTCATCTCCTGCCACTCCATAGGCACCTTCCAGCCAATAAGAACGCTTGCCACTGCTTTATCATGCCTCCATGCCTTTGCACATCCTGTGCCCTCTCCCTAGAATGCCCTCCCTCCTCCACCCCCACCTTTAGCTATCCACATCGAAAATTCCTATCCTTCAAGTCCAAGTTCAAGCACTACCTTCTCCTGAAAGTCTTTTCTGACCCCACAGGGTTTAGAAAGGGCGCCTCCATCACAATCTCCGAAACATTCCACTATGATAGTCATTAATCACACTGTATTGTACTCATCTGTTTCATACAACGAACCTCAAGGTCAAGGAAGGTTTTTAATCTTTGTACTCTTGACCCTTAAGAAATTCTTGACACACAGGAGCTACTTGGAATATGTTTATTGAATAAGTGAATGGATGAATGAATGATTAAATGAAGACTTGATGGTCAATGGCATGGAAGGGCGCCTTTGTTGGAAGAACATCAGTGGCATTGAGAAGACAAGCAACTGGGAGGCTAGGCTGTGGATGAGCCACCAGCATTGTACCGAAGTCTTTGAAAGTAACAGCAAAGAGAGGCAAACTCTTGAGCCAGGCTTAACCCCAGATGACCCTCTTCTTACCATCCCAGATCTATCTGGACCACCTCTCCCTCTCACCTGGCAAAGCTCAGCCTGAGCAAAACAAAATGAAGGAAAAAATTTTCTTAATGACTGCAATGCTGAATTAAAACGCTCTGCACTGCTTCAGATTATGTGCTCTCTGAGATTCTGCTCTGCCCCTCAGCATGGATAATCAAGGCCGGACCCCATCTCTTTCACAGGACACTTTCCTGAAGCATCAGAGAAAACTGATAACACCTTATGGGGTGAAAGCTGCGTCAAACCAACCAAATCACCTGGAAGGCATCCTGGAGAACCAGAAAGAGCACCGACTTCAGAAGGTCTAAGGTCCCAGCCCAGCCTGGTGGGTCACTACGATCCTTTCAGCTTTAATTCCAGATCAGCACAGGGCCCTGGACCGTAGGGAACCACCGACCCAGGTATTCTGAGGAAGCTCTGATAATAACATCACCTAGCTTAAGACATTCTGCTCTGGAAATTTTCCAAGTGCCTTCCTGGCTAGCACCCTGCCTTCTTTTTCAATTTTCATAGGGGGCCATTTGGTAGTAATTGTTCTAATTCCTGCATTACAGTTGGAGAAAGTGAACCTCCTATAATGTAAAGAATAACCCATGATCACAGTGAATTGGAGGCCAAGCCAGGACCTGCACCCGGGCAACGAGAACTCCTGAAAGGCCACTTCACCAAGTCTTCTCTATGAAGCATCATCTGCTCTTTATTTAAGTCTGGGGGAAAATTAAATTTGGGAAAAAAAGAATACAAGCATAATTAAAGGATCTGGCAAGAGACTATAAAACCCAGAGGGAACAACTCATTCCTTTGTGCCTTTTTTTTTTTTTTAGCTGCTTGAGCACACACATGATTTTTCTTATTTCTTATTCCCAAATGTTCTTTTTCGGTTTTTTTTTCCCTTTCCTTTTTCAAGTCAAATCTTAAAGCACTGAAGCCCAAACCCTTCATCACCTGACTTCCTTGGGGCCTGACCTTCCCTGGATTTACTCTGCCAGCGCTGACCAAGCAACTCAACCTTATTCTCTTAATTTTTTTTTTAAACTTTTTGTTGTGGAAAATTTCATATGTATACAAAAGTCCACAGCAACTGAACTCTAAAACAAATAATGCAAAACAAAAAAAACCTAGGCCTAAGGGGCTTACACATATTTCTGTCTCAGGAAATCATTGGCCCAATCTTCTTCGACTGCAAGGAGGTAGGATGAACTCAAGGCTTATAGAGAATATCTGCATCCAGCTTTTCCTCCTCACTGTGTGGCTTTTGGAAAGTCACTCTGAGGCGTGGTTCCTTCACTTGCAAAGTAGGAATAATCAAACCGATCTCACAGAATGGCGGTGGCAATGTAATGAGATAATGCCTGGGAATATGCTTTGTAAATTATAAAATGCTCTTACCATGTAAAGAACTATTATTACTGTCTCACAAGAGCCTTGGAGCATACCATGTGCGGGGTGGTGAATGTGCTCACGGAAGCAGACAGGTTTGTGTGGCAGGAGCTCTGCCGTGCCCACCCTCTGTTCAGACTTGGTCCTGAACCGCTCCCCGCACGCCATTTTGCTTTCATGCACTTGACACCGACCTTGCTACTCCTTTTCCTCCTTACTTCAAGGACAACTTGTCTATCAGTCTTGTTTTCCCATCGTTACCTGGGCTCCTCCAGTCCTGTTTTTCCAGCCAGGCTATACCAAATCAGGCTGTCTTTGTTTAGAAAGGCGCTCCTCTGAGTGGTACCTGAGATCCTATTATTCCAGCAAAACCTTGATTGGCAGCCCTTCCACCCCGCCGTCAGGACCCAGGCAGGAAGCAGCGTGGGCTTAGGAAGGAGGATAGAGAAACAAGACCCCTTGTAACAGACTCAGCCTCTCACCCATGGATCAAAGGGGGACCCATTCTTTTTAGAAGGTGGTTTAGAGACTGAGGGGTGAATAAGATGAAATCCATGACCTCACGGAGCTTATATTCCAGAGGGGGAGCTGACTATATATGAGTAGACATACCAATAATGAGTAAAATAAACGATATTTCAAATTGTGAAGGAAAGAATGCAGAGTTAGAGACTAGCAAGAGACTGCAGAGAGGGGTGGCTAATTACGATAGGGTGGTCAAGGTCATGAGTTGTGTTTTCATTTTTGTGAGTGCCCTCCCGATCCACGCCTCATTGTGAACAAGGAAGCTAAGTGCCCCACTTGCTGCTGGCAGCCACCCCATACTCTGAGGGGAGCTAGTTACAGGATAAAGCCATCACTATAGATAACAGACCAGAAAAAGGGGGAAAACATGGAGTCCTTGATGCTGTGGTTAAGCCACTGGATCACTGAATCCTGAAGTCCACCTAACTCTGAACCTTCTACTTAGGAGAGCCAACAACTTGTCCAGGCCATTTTGACTTGGGTTTTCAATGCCTAGCAACCAAAGTCATTATAACTGACACATGCTCCTGACACACGCGAGTTATAATCGCCTCCCCAGGCAGCTTATCCATCCAGCCATACAACAAGTCTTCTGACAAACCTACCAGGTAAGTGTCTCCACCTTACAATTCCAGGGATGCCATTACCCAGGTGAGGCACTTGTAATGTGCCTGACTTATGAATGATACTTGACAAATGTCTGTTGAACTGAATTGGGCGAAGAAGCAGAGCACTGCTTAAAAGGAGAAAAGATGCAGCAAGTCCTGGTCTCCCAAAAGGACCAGGACATTCCAAAATAACACTTCGCAGCCCTTTCTAGGTCACAGAAAGCTTTCACATACCTTACACCATTTAACTCTGTACTACCCCAGGGACCATCATTACCTTCATTTTATGGATGAGGAAATAGAGAATGAGAAAGGACAAGTCCGGGGCACAGGAATTAGGTGAGACTCAAATGAATGCAATGGAAAAGAGGGGACTCAGCCCAGGTGTGCTAGGAGAACATGATTTCCAGCTCAGCTCATTTCAGAGCAAGTTCACAAACTTCTCAGGTGGGCTTATGGTGTGCAAACCCTGGGCTTGGGGGGAAGGTGGGATGCACAAGACACAAAATCAGCCATCCAGGAATTTGCAATCTATCAGGGGTCCAGACACTAAAAACAACTATTCATAGAGGATGTGATTTATCTTTTAGGTTTCAGAAAGGCATCCTCACTTTGTTATTTTCTATAACTTGACTTAATCTCTATAAAATTCTCCATTCCCCCCACCCTCCACTGAATTCTTAGTCAAGCCAAATTCCAGGCTGTCTCAGTCAATTCCATGTTTTCTTCTTTTCCTTCTTGGGACTTCCTCGGACTGTGTCTGACTTGTAAGCATCATGTGTGGAGTGGGCATGAGAAGTGGGGGAGGTACTGAAGTGGTAGGGTGTCACCTGCCGCCAAGGTGCTGGCTTCTGCCTGACCCTCCGTCGTGGTTACCTGTCCATCCACTTCATCATGATGCAGACGTAGTCAGGATCCCCTGCTGGCTGACTCTCATGGTCCTTCTTGGAGACGCAGAGGAGTCTGGCGTTCTCCCACACGGCTTCGGAGCCTAGGAAACTGCGAGTGGCTGCTTCAGACCCTCTCTGCTTTCAACCTCTCGTGTAATAACCTCTACCTGCTGCTCTCAGGCCACAGCAGTATGAGGAACACCTGCAGGCTGCCTGGGTCCAAGACAAAAATCAGGCTAGGGTTCCTCTACTCCTGGCAATTCCTGCTTATCAGGGGGCACCAACATCCCACCCACTTTGAAGCTGGCTCTGGGGAAAAGGGCCCCTTCTCGGTACACTTACCGTGGGCTTTCTTGCTTTCACGCCAACTCTCTAACGTTCTCCCTCTTGGCAGACGCAGGTGGGCAGAGAGGAGCCTAGCTCAGCCAGTATTTTGTTAAATCTTTACAGTTTACACCTGGACTATGATGTTGATCTTAAGACCCAATGATTTGACGATGTTGTTCTTGTTTTGTAGGCCAGATGGACTCCAGACCTTCCATTTGGTGGCCTGTATGCAGCAAGGTCTCAAAAGGATAAAAGGAGATTTGGAAGGAAAAAGCCAGATGGAGTGATAAGATGACACACTAGAACGAATGAGAGTAAAAAGCTGCACCTCCTCCCTCTAGGAAAGTAACGGGGTGAAGAAAACGGGATGGGGCAGCTTGTCCTCATCATCAGGGATTTCCTCATGCACTTAGCTCACTCTTCATATGACTCTGTGGGTGGTGTAGACTCTTGCACAAAAGAGGCGCTCTGTCTCTTCTAGTATTGGAGACCTTCTGAGATGAAGTGATAACAGGACCTTAGGTTTGTCTAACTTGTTACAGTTTACTACACATGTCACATCCCTTAGTGTGTTAGGTTAGCACATCTCCGTGAGGAGGGCAGGTATTATCACCCCCATTTTACAAATGAGGAAACCAGGGTTCAGGGTGGTTAAGTGATTTGGCCCGGGGAACTGAGAGAATGAGAACAATCTCCAGAATGTGTAGTGTTTTGTTTCTGAGTTCTTTGTGAGGGGGTATACTCAAAGGTGTAGGGTAGAGACATGATCCGATTTGCATTTAGAGGGAACGTTCTGGCAGGAAAAGGGAGGCTAGAGTGGAGGGATGTAAGGCTGGAGAAAGACACACGGGTTAGGAAGTAATTGCAATAGTTCAGGCGTGGGAGGATGAGGGCTTACCTTAAAATGGGAGCTTCCGGAGTGTAGTAACCAGAGCGATATTAAAGGAGGTCAGTTAGGGCACGCATCAACATCACCTAGAGAGCTTGTTAAAACACAGATTGCTGGGTCCTGCCCCCACAGATGCTGATTCAGGAGAGCGAGGGTGGGGTTCAAGTGTTTTTTATTTCTAATTGGTTTCTAGGTGCTGCTGCTGCAGCTGGTGGTGACCTGGAGACCTTACTTAAGAACCTCCCCTCTGCAGGCCTTGGCCAATAGGATAGAGGAAGGGGGTGGAGTCTAGGGAGACGCAGGTTCCCGCTGTGGCTGTCAGCATAGACCTGGATGAGAAATGAAGACGCTTGTTTGGGACACAATGGGATGGATTCAGTTTGGGATGTATTGAGTTTGAGGGCCCTTAGGAGCCCCCGGGAAGAGATACCTCATAGGTAGTTGGAGATATATAGATGTCTGGAACTCAGGAAAGAGATTGAGCTATACTTAGGGTTTGGAAGTCACCAGAATAGAGTTGGAAGTGGAAGTCCTAGGTGTCAGTGAGATTGTCCAGAGAGACGATGGGAAGGACGGGGGTGGGTTCCTGTGGCTGAAGCTATGTTTAGATCCTGATCGTCAGTGCTCAAGAAAAATAAGATAGGCATGAATTTCCGCTTGTCATTTTCAACTGGATGCTTTTTGGGTTTGGTCACAGTGGCCCAGGCTTAGGTCACAGTTTCACAGGGTTTTCACATCCTCCTCAAGATTCTAAACAGAGGTGAGCTTTGTTTGACCACTGACATGACAGACATTAAAGAAAATCTTTTATTTATGAATTTGACTGTTAATCACATCATTTGGGCCAAGCAGTAGGACCCTCCTAAGCTTCAGTCCCTTCATATATGAAGCTGGGATACTCAAACCTCTCCTTCAGAGTTTCTGGGAAAATGCGGATAATTTATGTAAAGCAAAGTACCTGGCTGACACACAG